ACATTTGAACTGAATTGATCTAACTCCCATCCTCCAAAGAGTTGTGAGTGCTTTCATATCTGCTGTACTGTTTATTTCTCCAGCATCAAGTTTGTTGGAAAGGAATGTGATTGTTATAGTTCCAGTTCATAGAGAGAGAAACCAAAGTACAGAAAAATCCAAGGTCTTAGCTAAAGCCAAACAAGACCAGCACAGTCTTGTGTGTTTTTTCTTCTTAGCTCTTAATGTCTGTAAGAATGAAAAGCTTCCTATGAATCCTGCAAAAACAAGTCTGAGTGACAGTTTTCTCTTTATAGATGTGAAAATTCATATAATTTTGCAGAGTTCCCAGCAGATTGGTAATAGAGATGGGAATAAACATTGGGAGCTTGTGTATTGCCTGTTCGTGTCAATCTGGACTGTCTTCATTGGATAGGAATTACTCACCATCCTGCAACAGCAGGTCTGAAACTGGGTGGAGACCCCTCTACTCTCCTGCATGCTGATTAGTAGCAAAGAAAATTAGCTTTCCAATCTACAAATTTCCATAGAGGCTTGGAGCTTAGAAAGCCTGAAGAAGGTCAGATGGGCCTCATCTGGGATGGAATGAAAGAGGAGTGCTGGAGTTACATTATCCAGTGCCCTCCACACAATACAGAAAAGATTAATAGGAAAATCTCCAAATTTGGACTTTAAATGGCAATGTGGGACTTACACTTTACATAATTGGTAACTATTAAGTTAAAATATTTAAATCCTGCCTATCTGGAAACAAAGTCATGCTAAGCTCTGATTCATAAAAAAATTCTTGGGATACATTTCTATTTTAGGAGAGTTCATATTTGGTTTGTTTGGTTGGAATTGATCTACGGATGTGAGATCTCAAATTCTCAAGTGACGCTTTGCTCAAAAATATGAGTAGCATATGGCAGAAGTAGGTAATCTTCAACCTTTAACTTGATTTTATCTAGTTTATGAGGCACCTGCCTTGAACTTGTTCCATTTATGCCTTTTAATGCAAAGATAAAACATTACACTAATTTTTTTTATAGTCTTGTGTTTAAAAGTTTCAAGATGAACAAAATAAGAGCATAGCTCCACCAAAGTCTCTATGTGCATACTTATTTCTGTATCTGAGTGTCTTTTCGTTAGTGTCTTTCTTCTGTCTCTTTATTTACACAATTCTTTTTTTGAGGGGAAGGGAATTGGGGGTAGAATTTGTGTGTGTCTGCCCCTTGTTCTGTGTTTTTTCCTTACCATTTGTTGTCCTCCTTTCTTTCTGTCCTTCTGTCTCATTCTCTCCTCCCTGTTTTCCCCCTTTCCCTTAATTTTCCACAACATAGAAAAATTAAAGCACATTTTAGATTATTTGTTATATTAATATTTCGTTTGGTGCTATGGTGTTTTGACTCGGAAGAGACTCTAAAGGTCTTCTAACATATACCTCTCATTTGACAGATCTTGCAGCTTTGCTGTTAAATACCGGTAGAACAGGGACCAGAGCCCAGGTCTCCTGGTTCTCAGAGAGTTCCATGTTCTTTCCGCAATTTTCTGCTTCCCTCCTGTTTTATATTTCTGGAATAAAGTTCTGTATTTCCTACTTTTAATTTTAAAAGCAAATAAGTAGAACATGTTTTATTTCTTTTATATCAACGAAGTTCTCTTATTTAACTTCAGGGAGTCTACGGCCTTGGGTAAAGTGAATTTTTGTATACTCCCTTACCCCCAAGTATGCAAGTGAGGGGCCCAAAATAGGGTAGGAGCACACTGCAAGCATCCCCCATAGCATTCTCTCTCC